ATTATACATTACGCCATGCCGAAACTTACCGGGATAGCCAAGTCGTGGTATCAAGCCTTGCCGACGATGACTTACTCGTGGGCAGAATGGAAAATTAAATTAACGGAATCGTTCCCTAGTAAAGATGATTATGCTGAATTGTTGACCGAAATGCTAGCGCGGAGGGCTCGGTTTGGAGAAAACTTAGAACTTTATTTCTATGACAAAATAAACTTATTAAACCGTTTGGAAATAAAAGGAAAATGCGCGGTAGATTGCTTGCTGCATGGATTAGACGACCGGTCAGTGCGTCTGGGCGCAAAAGCCACAAAGTGTACGGAACCTGAACAAATTTTAACATACTTTCAATCGGCTGGGCTACCACCGGGAGGTTTGGGCAGGGCGAAAAATAGCTTAGACAAGGGAGCAAATTTCGCGGCGGTCAAAGACGGTATTAGTAATACAAACAACGAACCAAAGATAGCCGGATCTTCGTCCCTGACACCGGTTACGTGCTACAATTGTGGCGAGCAGGGACATTACAGTCGTAAATGTACAAAAAAAAACAAGGGGATGCACAGCATGCAATAAGTTAGGTCATCTAGTCACGGAATGCCGTAAATTATCTACTGAAAATATGAAGAACGAAGAATCTAAAGAAAAGAATGTAAGGCTGTGTAAATTAGAAGGAGCGGGTAATAATAAATACGTGACAACTTTGAAGGTAAATGGCAAACAAGTAAAGGGCTATATTGATTTGGGTAGTCAGTGTACTCTATTAAAATACAGTGAGGCAATTAAGTTAGGAATAACGTGGACGATTAACAACTTGCCGATCCTTCGAGGTATTGGCGAAAACTCGATAATGCCAGTAGGTCTTGCTAAGATTACTATAGAAATTGACAGCAATTAGAGTCTTTAAAGAGCATTTCGGTTATTTTGGGACACCAACTCGTATTATTACAGATAGAGGAACATGTTTTACAAGTTCCAAATTTAAAGCTTTTATACAGGAACATAAAATAAAACATGTATTAAATGCAGTTGCCACTCCCAGG